GTGCAAGAGTAGCTTCAATATCAGCTGAAAAGGAAGCTAATACTGAAAAGATCAGGTTTAAGCTATCTGCTGTGGATATTTGCATTCGCCCTTGAGACGGATGCAAATCTGCTTTTACAGTTCTGAAAACAACAGCATATTCACACTTGAAAGGTAACAGCAAACTCCCAATTAGCATAGCAACGGAAGTATTGTGCAGCTATTTTCAGGAAGAGGAATTCGAAGTTATTTTAGTTTAAACTCCCCAAAGGTAAGTATTATGAAAATGAAACTGGGTTCATCTTCAGTTTCAAAGAACCAAAAAGCTTCTTCAGAGAAAAAGAAACATTTATGTAAATAAAAACTAGACTGCATACTATAGCTAAATCCAACTTTAATTTAATGGTTGAAAATGGAAAAACTAGAGGCAAAGTATTATCTTGGACACTAAAGTATATTTCATAAGGAGAACACATGAAACTAATGTCTATTTTTGTATCTGTTATACTTTTAAATTCAATAACAAATACTCTGGACAACATATAATTTACCAAATTAAGCATTTTCTCATAGAAAAGCAATATTTTTCTGTGAAGTAAAAATAGGATGCCTTCAGTCCTATGCTTTCATGGACATCTCCATGCTGCTTTCTTGGTGATAGTAGAAAAGTAATCTGCCTTTGTCTTTTTCCAGGAATTGTTTTCAACTTCTCAGTCTAATCCAGAGTCCTTGTGGTCTCCCATCCAAGTATGAACCAGCTTAACTATGTTCGTTTCTGAGCCCAGGTCTGTACAGAGCCTACCACCCATTGAAGCAAAAACTTTTAAATATCTTGCCATTATTGACCCACCACCCCAAAATAAAAATCTATATTAAGGAAAATATTAAGACAAAACAAATTATAGGACTAAGTAGTGTAGGAAGTTAGCATCCACCCCTTTCCTAGAAAAATGAAATATCCTAGGAAATATTAAAAAGGCAGAATATTTGCCCTAAAAAGAGTGGAAACTCAGAAGCAGAAACTAACTTCAGAAGTAGAAGCTCACCCCCACCTTTGTTAATTGGTAGGCCATTAAGGCCTGGGCCAGAATATTTTACATAACAAAGATCTCCAGGTAAAGCTATAGCAATTACCTAAAGCCCTTTTCATTACATCATCATCCAGCAAGGCTCAACCAAGCCTGGAACTCAGGACAGCCTGTAGAGTTGCCCCTGCATGGCCCCATGGGAGTCTGACAACCAATCAGAATACAAGTTCAAATTCAAATCTCAACAGAAGGTATAAAACCAGGCACTCTCAGCATCTCAGCCCTTCCTTCTCTTTTCCTTCACCTTGGAGCATGTGATCCTCCTTGTTGTACAGCGGCGGTAGAGACTGAGACGGACACAGGCTTAATTTTAACAGGCTTTATTCAAATGAATAAAGGGTTGCCGCGGCTGCCAAGGCTAACTGGCAGTCAGCTGGCGGCAACAGCTGATGCCGTTTGACAGCTCCTTTTATAGCCGGCTGTCAAACGGCATCAACCAATGGGAGCGATCGGTGCTCCCGCGCGGGCGGCGGACCGGAGTGAGGACTGCTGTCAGTCTGTGAACACAGCACTCCTCCTTTGGAGCTCCAAGCCATGTAGTCCTATCCACCATTAAACCATCTTTCCAAACAGCCTCCATGTTTCCAATGTCTTTTTCCCCACTTGGAACTTAACCCAGAAGGACATTTCTTCCAACAGTAGAAAATTATAGGGCTAACCATGGAAGTCTTCTAGTCAAAACCCTTGTGCCCAAGGCAAGAGTCCTCATACCATCTTATTATTCAACCTTTTCTTGAAAATCTTGGACAGTCATTTATCCGAGATGGTATGAGAGGGCAGGGAGTTGGACTACAGCACAGTGGTCCCCAACCTTTTTTGTACCACGGACCGGTACCGGCATCAGCACGCACGGCCAAGGCAAGGCGAGCCGAGCGACCAGCCAGCCGTCCCCCGCTTCTCCCCGCCACCTTCAACTCCTCCTTTGTACCTTCTCGCAGTCGATGGGCTTTTCGGGCTCTTTCTTAATCTCCTCCTGAGTAACGCGAGACTCCACCGCCATCGGGACGGCTCTTCGTTCGAAGCTGCCCCCCACTTCGACAAAACTAAGGCGCAAGGATTCCTTCAGCACCCAAACGCCGCTTTCCAACTGACAACCGACAAGCTCACCAGGAAGCACTTTTTCAAGCGCCATCGAAACAAGATGGCGGCGCCCAAGCAAAGTAGGCCCTACTTTTATTCTTTGCGGCCTGGTACAAAATGATCCACGGACCGGTACCAGTCCGGGGCCCGGTGGTTGGGGACCCCTGGACTACAGGACACAAGTAATAGAAGAGAATTATCTGTAGCTTGGGGTTGAACTGTGCTCTGATATTACCCAGCTGAGGAATGAACCATCTACGAGCAACGAAGCTCAGAGAGCACCAAGGACTTTATAGTCACAAGCTACCTCCGCTGTCCTTAATCAGGGAGATTAAGGGGAGAAAAAGTTGGGGCAAGATATTTATCTCACTAAAATAGAAGAAAAACATTTTACTAGCTGAGATGCTTAGATTGCATTAGGATACAAACAAAGTTGTAATCTGAAGGCAACGCTAAGATGCATTATCATTACACTTCTTGCACCTATCCAAGTTCTAAGAGCAGTGTTGTCACATAGACAAAAATGTCCCTTTTCAACCTATGGATCATGGCTGACCAATGTATCCAAGAGTACTTTATTGCTTGCCACAATTCCACATTCAAGTCAATTGTGCTGTATTCACTTGCCTTGAAGTATCCTCATTCAGTTCCAAAATATAGACATCCTAGAAAGTAAGCTCAACAGCTGAAAAAGCAGCAGTTAATTTCCCGAAAATATCAAGTAAATAACAATAACAAAACCCCTTCATTGAATTAATCTTTAATTTCAGAGCAGCCTGGAGACTTGCTTAAGGATATATACTTCCTTTGCTAGGGGAAGTTAAATATGATAACCGAACAACAAACATAATGTCTCTGTTTCTAGTCCTCTAAATATTTTATTGCTTACCAAGCACTCACGTCCTTGTTAAAATACGATACTGGAATGAATACATGATGCCTTTTCAGAATCAGCCCAATATCAAAGATAAAATCCACAATTTTATGTAGCAATAATTAAGCCACTACTAGATCGCTGGTCTTATTTTGAACAGAACAAACTGAAGTTCATGTATTGAATTCCTTTTTTTATCTATTGAGACACTGCAGAATTTCCTAAAACAGCACTACAATTTAAGTCCTTTTCAGAGTCCACAAACAGCATTCATTAATAGCTTTTAAAATGGTTTTCGCATTCTTGTTCCCTTATCTATTTTTTAGCAGATTTTTTACAGCTGATTATACAAAGAGGCTCTGACATTTCTCTAGCTTTAATATACATAAAAGCAAATTCTCCTGAAATTAGTAAAAATTATGTGGGCAAGGGCTTTTCTCTCAGCCTGCACAGATGCTTTTAAAGATTGTTGCTGATAGAAAAATTCAGTTTAAAAAAAAAATCAAAGAAAGCCTACTAGAGAAATAATCAGAGGTCCAGGCAGCTCTGGAGGAAACAAAGAGAAGAATGAAACAGTCCTGCTGAAAACCAATATACCATATTTTGGAGAATACATTTGAAAGTGGGTTTTTTTCCTTAGATCATTGATTTCCCTTTATTCAAATATCACAATCTATTGGTGAAGATCCCTTTCCCCCCCATTACACGCTTAAGTATAGTTCAATTATTATTTCTTCCCTGTATATTTTTGGGACAATAAGTGGACTGCGTTGCCATATCAATTAATACTGGTGCAACATTAATTAGCATCTTTTCCTCTGTCCATCAGAGGTTTGGACACCACAGCCTAAACCCTCCCCAAAAGAGGTTTAAACCAGCCACTTTCAAAAAGCGCATTCTGTATAGCAACACAGCAGTTACAAAGGTGTTTTTTTCCCCCCTGTTCTTTGGACTTCAGCAAGCCCTTGGTTCAACAGGGAGGCCGGCGCAACAACCAGGGAAGTGTATAAATCTTTCACAACACCTGGGCCTGACGACAGCAAAGGCCACCGGGAGGGAGGGGAAAGCCGATTGTATCCAACCTCTCTGATAAAAGACAACTGCATTGAAACATGGTTTACTCTTGCCAGTGACATAACCAAACCTGGCTACTGCAGGCAGTGGAGGCATCACGATTTTTTGGGAAATGGGAGGGGATATAAAGGAAAGGGGGGGGGGGGAGAAATCAGGGCCCGATTAAACCTGAGGGATAAAACATTATGGGGCAAGGAGATGAGTTGCTGCTTCGTAAGAAAAAATTAAACCTCCTTTATTCCCCCCCCCACCTTTTCTTTTAACATGTGGCTCGTATTTGAGGGGAATTGGAAAGGCATAGCGGGGCGGAAAGGGGGGGTCTCAAGGGGACCGAAAGGCTGGCGATTGGAGGGGGGGTCTCCTCCGAAGTATCTCGTCCCAGTTAAATCTCCTCCTGGCAACCCCAGGGAGAGAAAGGAGAGAAAGGAGGCTCCGCGGCAAAGCCCCTCAGGGAAGGCGCAGCGAGGAGAGTCCTTTTTCCAGCGGCGCTTCGCCGCCACCTGGGGTCCTCGCCAACGCCACCCGCGGCGCCCGCCCCCCTTTCTTGCCAGAGGGGAGGGGGGAGGGTCGGTCGACGGCACCCCGATAATCTTCTTGCCCTCAAAGGGAGGCGGGCACAAATCCCCCACCCACCCGGGAGAGCCCGGCATAAGCTGCCTTTGCGCTCGGCGCCCCAGCAGATCCCGCGCGCCCCGGGGAGCGCGTCGGCGGCTCCCCACAAAGGGCAAGCCCGGAGGGCCCGAAGCCGCCGCGGGAGACCCATGCCCGAAAATAAGCAAGCAAGCAAGAGCAAGAAAGGCAGCGCCGACCTACATAAGCGCCACCCTCGGAGCCGAGCCGAGCCAGGAGGACGGATGCCCCGCTATCCCTTTTGTCCTCCTCCTCCTCCTCCTCCTCGAGCTTACCAGCTAATTCATCCGGCTCCAAGCCGCTGTCGGCGTCGATCCCGCACAGCACAAAGTAGTGGGCGAAGCGGCAGGGCGCTGAGCCGGAGCCCGGCCCCGAAGGAGCGCCGCCACTACCGCCGCCGCTCATCTCTCCCCCGCTCCGGCTTCTCGCCTTTGGTCCGCTTTGCCTTCGCGCCCAGGCAAGCGCCCTTAACGCCTCCGCCGCGCTTCTTCCATGGCGCAAGCCAGTCCGCCCGGGCCGGGTGGCGGCCTCCCTGGCCACGGGGCTGGCGGCCGGGGCTGCGTCGGCACGGCTGGCGACGGTGCGGGCGCCCCTCGGTCAGCTGAGGCTGCAGCGGCGCCCGAAGCCAGGCAGGCACCGTCCCGCCTCCCCTGCTAAGCGCTGCCGCCGCCAATCAGAGCCGCGGGAGGAGAAAGGAGGCCCGCCAACCGCTTCCGCCCCGCCTCCTCGGCGGGACATTTAAATCGCTCTCCGGCCCGAGAAGCGCAGCGTCGGAGTTGGGAGCTGCGGGAGGTGGGGGCCGGCCGGAACTGCTGACACCCCCTCCCCAATATCTCTATTTGAGGCTCGTATGCGGAAATTTACGCTCCGGTGTAACACGGACAATTAAGACAGTTCAAATCTGAGTAACAAGCTGCGTAAATAGTGTCTAGGGGGATGGTCCTGACACTTTTCCATTCATCGACCCTTCGTGAAGTTTCGGATTGTTCATCAGAATAAAGATGGAAGGGACCTTGGAGATCTTCTAGTCCAGCCCCCTATACCCATGATGGCGAACCTATGGCACACATGCCACAGGTGGCATGCAATTTGTGCAGGCACCTGAGCCCCAGCCAGGGGTGGGATTCAAAATTTTTAACAACTGGTTCTGTGGGCGTGGCTTAGGTGGTGGGCGTGGCTTGGTGGTCATGTGACTGGGTGAACATTGGTTGGTGGTCATGTTATTGGCTGGGTGTGGCCAACTCAACATCACTCACATCGAGGCACGCATCTCCTTGCCTGGCCTCTCATGACTGTGGGGATGCTGCAACAGTGTAAAAAATGGTTATAAGTCACTTTTTCAGTGCCATTGTAACTTTGAATGGTCATTCCACACAAGCAAAGTACCAGCAAAGGAGGGGAAAAAACTCCAGAGATGTTCCTGAGACAGGAAGTCTAGTCCTGCCAAGAATGTAATAAGGGTTAACGGAGAGGCAGTTTCTGTAAGCAACACCAGAATGTTTCCTTCCTGTCTTCCTTACAGGATTAGGCCAGTAATTTCTTCTAACAACCAGTTCTCCGAACTGCTTAGAATGTTAACAACCGGTTCTAGCGAATAGGTGTGAACTGATAGAATCCCACTCCTGCGCGTGCCTCCCAGCTAATTTTTGGCCTCCCAGAAGCTTGAGGGAAGCCTCTGCAGCCTCGGGAGCCCAAAAAATGGGCCTTCCGGAAATACCGGAAGTGCCAAAACAGGCCCATTTTTCAGCCTCCCAGGCTGCAGAGGCTTCCCTCGAGCCTCTGGGAAGCCGAAAAAAGCGTCAAATGGGCCGAAAATCAGCTGGGAGGCGTGCGGATGTGCAGTGCAGATAAGGGGATGGGGTGTTGCGCACGCATGCTCAGGGGGGGCAGGAAGCGTTGCATTGTGGGTGCTGGCATGCACACACGCTGTTGCGCATGCGCATGCTTTCGGCACACCACAACAAAAAGGTTTACCATCGCTGCTCTATACCATTTCAGACTGTCCAGTCTCTTCTTAAAAGCTTCCAGTGGTGAAGCACCCACAACTTCTGAAGGCCAGCAGCTCCACTGGTTTAATTGTCCTCACTGTTAGGAAGTTTCTTCTTAATTCCAGTTTGCTTCTCTCCTTGATTAATTTCCATCCATTGGCACCCTGCCCCTCAACTAGTCCTCAACTAGCAGCAGTTCATTTAGTGTTCAAAGTTACAGCAGCACTGAAAAAAGTAATTTATGACCATTTTTCACACTTATGACCACTGCAGCATCCACATGATCCAAATTCAGCTGCTTGCCAACTGGTTGATATTTATGATGGTTGCAGTGTCCTGGGGTCACGTGATTACCTTTTGTGACCTTTTCTGATAAGCAGAGTCAATGGGGAAGCCGGGTTCACTGAACAGCCGTGTTATTAATTTAACAACTGCAATGATTCGCTTAATGACTTGGCAAGAAAAGTGGTCAAATGGGGCAAAACTCACATAAATGTTTCATTTAGCAACATAAATTTTGGTATCAATTGTTGTAAATTGAGGGATACCTGGTATTATATGAAAAGGATTTAATACTACTTTAACTCTGTGTGTGCCTTTGTCCTTGACTCCTGGAGACTGCCTGGAGAATTTCCTGCTGGTTTTCTTGGCAAGGTTCTCCCTCCATGGTGGTTTGCCATTGCCTCCTTCCTTGGGCTGAGAGAGAGTGACTGGCCCAAGGTCACCCAGCTGGTTTTAGGACCAAAGTGGGGCTGATTTTTATCTAGATGCCTTAACCACTATACCAAACTCACTGTCCTACTTTAATTTATAGCACTATGAACAACTAACAACAATAATATGGCTGCTCATTGGAGGCTGATTGTTAGCCGCTCAACAGGGCACTGAGCTCTACCCCAAAAGATTAACTGATCCCAATAGACATCTGTCACTTATTGTCCCCCAGACATTTACTGTCGTCTTGGATAGTCTCATCAACCTTTGGGGGTCAGTATTGATCACTTTGGAGAGCCCTGGCCTAAAGAAATCCAAAAGGTATTAAATGAGTTTTAAGTTGTGACAGAAATGTAAATGTTCACTTGTATTAAACTATGTTCCGCATCATCAACGTGCATCAGCCTCTCTCAATCTGACGATTGATTTAAGATTGATTAAGAATATATATCTCATGCCCTGGTTATCAGACACCACTGAGGAAGAGTTAGTGAGGTCTGATGCAAAGAAAGCACTGAAAGTAATACTATTTCCTAATCATGCACAATTCACTACATTGATATATGTTTACATTGGTTGGTTTCGACCATTGCATTTGTCAAAAAGTGGTTTTATAAGCCATAGTAGCTCCATTCACACAGGGAGTAAAGCCAAAAACGGATAAAAGCGTTCCTTAATTTCTCTAGAGAAGGGGTGTTAAACTGGATTTTTTTGAGGGCCCAATCAGTATTGTAGTTCTCCTCTGCGGGCCTCCTGCGGCACACACCCCCGCAGCCAATTTGGGGTGGCAAGAGTGCTGCTGCAAGAGGCTGTTCAGGTCAAAAGTGGAGCATGGGGGGGTTGTGCACACACCACACACCCCATTTTGGCTGCCAGAGGCACCACGGGCCAGTCCTTTGCTATTTCCAGACTGGCACCGCAGGCCAGATTTAAGCACTCCATGGGCCGAATCTCTAGAGGAACAGGGAGGCACAGCTCCCATCAACCACAGCATGGTACCTGGGAATCAAGGTAGACGTGGTACAATAAATCTGGATAGCATCTTTTGGTGAACTCTGTCTTAATTAAGCTACCGTAATTCCAAATGAACTGGAGAATCCAAGTGAAGAACAACCTCTAGTTCTACTTCAAGGCAGAATTAAGAATAGGGAATTAAAACATGATGATCATTAAGTATTCTGAAGCTGTGCCTTTCCATTCCTCAGTGCTTAGGGGAAAAAAGGGGGAAACAGGAGAAGAACCAAACTGGTTACTCTTGCCCCATTTAATATATTGACAACGATCAGTTGCAGAAGGGCTTGGAGGGAGAGTGAACGGGGGACTTGCCCCAAATAACTCTGGGACTCCAGATGGAGTACTTCTGCCTTGAACCAGTTCGCTTTTAATGTGTTTCTGTGATCTTTGTGGAACCATTCTGAGCTGATGTGTTTTCTTAAGTTTCCTTAATGTTATCCAAACGCTAAACTAACAGGATTAAAAAAATATATTTGGGGCACAGCTGGCCCCTGGTCTAGATTGCGTGCAGCTTCTGAAATTCATAGTTTCAAATGGTAATACTGTACAGTGCAATGATGCATGAATGGAACAGTTTCAATAAAAATACTTTTAACCTAGTCACGCTTGCCAAGAAAATGCCTTTTACAGGTTCAACTTTGTGGCAGCTGCAACTGTTTCTGCAGAGCAATAGCTGGATGTGGCATGGGCCTGTATCTTATTATTCCAGAATGGGTCATACTAATTCAATCTCTGTTCTCTATTGGGATCATTCTGCAGATAATATGAAATAGGTAGAAAACTCAATTACCCACCAGAACATTCAGCCAGCAAGTCAGGACCCATTGCTGTGTTTCTATGGACTGATGTGAACCATGGCTTGTTGAATTAATTCAGTGACCTGGAAGCACACAATACACTGAACTGCAAATTAATTTCATTTTTGAGGTTTGTATCACACACCACACTACAAACTTGATCGTCATGCTTTTATCTCGCTGCGAGAGACCAGCTATGCCAGTCTAAAGGGTCACATTTTGAGAATATGTGCCAGGAGACCTTCTCAAAATAAGATTAAAAACAAACCAGAGAATATGATTTTAATTAAGCCGCAAGTGCAATACCGCTGCTATTTGAGGAATATTCAGAAACTACATCAGAGGGTGGGTAGGAGCAGATCCAATAATAAGTCCATTTCTCATAGCCAGTCTGCCTCCAGAGCTATTCTTTAATACCGGCATTTACTTCCGTTTTTTGCTAAAAAACACCCATTGGGGACAATGATTGCCGTATTCGCTTAATGACCACAGGGATTCACTTAATGACCACCACTAAAAGGTAGTAAAACCAAACTCAGTCATGTGGTTACCTGCTTAATGACTTGCACAACTTATAACTGTAATTCTGGGCTCAATCATGATCACAGGTTGTGTAACACAAGTCATTGAGTTGATTATGCTGGTTTTACCTCCGTAAGTGTCTCAAATGACCCATGAAAAAGGTACCATGATAATGCAAGAAGGTCAACTCATGGAACTAATGCTGTTTATGAATTAGGCACCAACCTGCAGGCTATTCATAAGCTTTGTGTTGATCTTCTCTTTGGTGACTCATACTATGGTAGATTCAATGCCTTATTTGAAGGTAACAGGGACAAGTCTTAATACAGGTGGCCCTCAACGTATGACCAAAACTGAGCCCAAAATTCATGTTGCTATGTGAGTTTTGCCCCATTTTACGACTTTTCTCACCACCTTTGTTAAGTTTCTTTCCACAGTTCCACAAAGTTTATTTTCACAGTTGTTAAGTAAATCACTGCAATTCTTCAATTCGTAAGATGGTTGTTAAGTGAACGCGGCTTCCCCATTGACTTTGCTTGTCAGT